AAATTTTAAGCTGATATCAAAAGGAATAAGAATGAAGTTAATTCACAAGACAAACACCGTAGACTGGATTTAAAACCATAAGTTCATGACAATAATGAGAAGACGTTCTAGTTGCTGTCATAATCGTTTTAAGCATGATGAGAACTATGGTCGGTAGACTTTTTGTTTTGTTTTGTTTTGTTTTTGTTTTAATTTTAGTTTTTGTTTTTGTTTGATTGTTTGCTTTCTTGCTTGTTGGCTTTCTTTCTTTCTTTCGTTCGTTCTTTCGTTCGTTCTTTCGTTCGTTCTTTCGTTCGTTCGTGCGTGCGTCCGTGCGTCCGTGCGTCCGTCCGTGTGTCCGTGCGTCCGTCCGTTCGTTCGTTAGGCACTCCACTTAAATTTATCAAAAAATAAAAGACATCTCATCGACTAGTATCAGTTAAAGGTAGTGAAAGTAACCTTTCGAAATGTTAAAATCCCAAAATCCTTCATGCACCACAATAAGCATAGTTTTTTTGAAGATTAATTGCTGTCTGTCCAGAAAAAAGGTAAAAAATGGGATAATTTTTTTTAGATGTTGAAAAAAGTAGAGGAATTTGAAGAAAAAACAAATAAAGTTTCAGTATTAAGGAAATATATAAAAATAATAATCGTTTTCCTATAATGCCTTTTTGACTGCGAACAAAGCATGTCTCATTTGGCGCCAAAATTCCAACCAATCAGAAAGTAAGAGATAAATATGTCGGTTTCGAATCGTTTTTGCGGATCTCTGGAGTGTTTTTGACAGTTTGCTAATAAATCAATCGATTGTATCCTAGATGTCACTGAATATTCAATTCCATAAACATTGCTGAGTCAAGCTAGAAATATTTAACAGATTGCCTATAATTTAATCCAGCACTGAGATGGAACAAAATACACGATACACGAAAACATGACACCGAAAGGTAGGCTTGAATTTGAATCGACGCTCGTTTGAATCTTCGCTTGTTTTGAGAAAAACAATGCTCTGAGAGTAAAGATGTTGATCGAGAAAGAAAACATTCAATTGAAGTAAAATATTATGCTTGAATACTGAACAAATCTCATCTACGGACAAAATTATTCGAACTTTTCGATCGATATTTTAGTTTTCGTCGCTTATAAAGCAAAGCGCTTACGCTTTCGTCCGCCGTACATCTATTCACGAAAGGAAATATTGTCTTAAACGCAGACATTTATTGTTTTGTAATACAAAGGAAACGATGGGAAGCTACCATTTCATGGGATAAGTACCAAACAATTGGTTTCATCAATACGTATTCTCACTTCCACGAACAGACAAATTATACGTTTTTCCTTAAATGCACCAGCCTGAAAAATAAGGACTTTTCACATGTTATCGGGTTTTCATTAATTCCATTTTTTCCTCGTATGAATAAAATATTTTTTAAAATAAAAATGTAAATGAGATTAACACAATCAAAAATTTGATGTAATATGAAATTTCTGGGAATATTTTGTCTAATTATTTGTCAGTAAAATCAAATTGTTTATCTAACAAGTTAAATAGTAAAAAACATTAGGATTAGGATTCTTGGAAGGCAAATATGGAATTTGTCTAAGAATATTCTAGGGGTTTGCTTTGTTTCTTGAGATGTATACGAGCCGTTGATTCATGACAATGCATCCTTTTACTACATACCAAATTGGCGAAAGAACAAAAACGTTATTTAATACGAATTTGAATAATTCATTTTCGAGACTTTTCTTCGTCTGGAAATAAAAATAATACTACAAATTTGTTGAAAAACTAGTTTATTAAAGTAATAAAAATCTTCAAAAATTCTTTTCAGAATTTTTTTGCGATATTTTACCCGTAGTATTTTCGATATTAAATGAGCTGTTAGTAAATTATTTTGTATAGTTTATAATTAAAGGCGGAATGAAGTGAAACAAATAAATACACTTGCCTTGAGTCATTTTTGCTCTAGATTATTTTCAAAATTTGTCATTTCGTTACATTTTACGGCTGAAAAAATACTTTTTTTATGCAGAAAATAATCTAGAAAATACAGTTGCGTGCTCGCAACAATGCCTACTCAGCATGGAAGGTGTAAACAAATATCCAAAGGAGCTTTTTAGCGAAAACAAAGTCATGTAATCAGGGAACGATTCAGACCGTATATTGTCGGCCTAATTGTTTGCTATGTTAAGACGAGTCACGAAAACAGATTATTAATATACATTAGTTGCAATTGTTTTTCTTGTTTTTAAGCCCTCTGAACAATATAATCATACCACACTCAACTCTCCTTCTCAACAACGACTTATCACAGACTGGAGCTGATGTGAAGTTACTCTATGATGATGGTGAGTCTTACGTTTTACCTTAGATAACCTCTTTCAGAATCAACTAAGTTACTTTATTCATATAAATGAATTTGCCAACTGATATAAAAGTATTTTAGCTGATAGTATGGTTGAGTAATAACCTACAATTGTTATCGATACCCTGAACGGAAATAATCTCTTCACAGATCAAACCCTGAAACAACCTCTGGGCTGACCTAAGTCAGGGCACGGCTAACTCACAGATCAAACCCTGAAACAACCTCTGGCTGGGCTGATCTAAGTCAGGGCACGGCTAACTCACAGATCAAACCCTGAAACAACCTCTGGCTGGGCAGATCAATGTCAGGGCACGGCTGAGTAAAAATCGAATTTGGATTTAGCTCTAGGTTTTGCGGAGAAAAACGGGAGAAAAACGGGAAAACCCGGAGAAATCCCGCCTTGCACATTGCCGTGTCAAACAACTTAAATATTTTTATTACATCAACAAATATAATATATGTTAGAAAACGTTTTTCAGTAGCCCCTTTAAAATTATCTTTACTGTTTAGCTTTATTTACTATTCCCGTTTCGTTTCTCCCACCTATTTTCTTCAGACGTACGTAATTCCGGCCGGCTTAAAGGCAAACATATATAATATATTTTTTGCAATTCCGATCATCATAAAATTCTAGTGTTATTTCAAATAGCACAATCGGCGAAAATAATTTAAATTTGCTGTATAAATTTGAAAAGAGGAACGAAAAGGAAAGTGAAAAAAAAAAAAAAAAAAAAAAAAANAAAAAAAAAAAAAAAAAAAAGAACATGTACCTTGTCGACTTAGTTACTACTAATTGAAAAAAATAAAAAAAACACACATAATTTACAAATTGCCAATTGAAACATCTATTTCTTCTTCAAGTACTTGCTATAGAGTAGTAGCCCCAAAGGTCAGCTTACAGATACCTAATGAAAGTATCTCTTAATATAGCGTGCAAAGTCGATAAAATAACAAAAAAGAATAATCAGAATTTTGCCTAACTACAATTATCCAAAAAAAAAAAGCTGCTTTTGATGACAGTTTTGTTCATCGATAGTATTTACTCTTGCTGCAAAAATATGAAAGGTACCAACTGATTAGGTTTGATTGACAGCAGCGAAAACCAAATTTCAGCGTGCAGCTTGCTGACACCGGCAGAGTTCGCATGCTTATGGAAATTGCAGTAAATGTTTGTGAAAAGGTATTCTAATTTAAATCCTGAATAAATTAATGCTTAAATTATTTTAAAGATTTTCTAGACCAATCAATCAGCTTAACCAATTAGCCCTAATCTTAGAAGAAGAAAAATCAAAAACAAAACAAATAAGTTTCTTTGTTTGAGTCGTATTTAATATTCATGTTCTTCTCATGAGAAACTGTTAAACAAAGAAATAATACTCTAAGGAATGGCACGTGGTTTGAAATAGAAAACCATTACGTCCAATATAAAGATATTTACACAGACAGCTATTAATTTTCAAAAAAAGGTTTTTGGGTATTTAACTTAGTCGTTTGCAAATACTTTGTACTAGACTAGCTGTTTATTTCTTATAGTTCATGGTCGAGATAAACGATACGCAAAAGCTACGATGCTAAAATCCATGAGAATCATGGAAAACATTTCATTTGAAACAAGTAAAGCCTTTTAAATACTAACTGCAGCTTGAGGATGCTCATAGGGGGTGAAACTGTATAATAGTGTCAACGCGGCGCAAAAACATGTAAAATGATGTTTCTACCCATAATCCTTTCCGGTCTCGACTTTGTAACTTTAACTCACCATTTTCCATACATCGGTTCACTGGTCAAACACAAAGCATTCAGTCGAGGTTGCAAGGTTCAAATTTGAATAATCCTTTCAAAGTACCTTGGTGCCTCGCTTGAGCGCTTTGTGTTTGACCAGTAAACCAATGGTGAAATGGTGAATGGCGACAAAATTTATTCAAATGAGTATATTTTGCGAGAGGGTTTTCTGCGTATTGATGGTTTTCACGGCGGCCATGTTGGAAGAACTTAACAACAGAGTTGTCAATGAATTCTTTTGTTATATCCTACAACATGGCCGCCATGTCTTTTGTTATTTAATTATCTTGGGAGTGGTTGAAAACCATCAATTATTTGAGATACTTAAAACTGACGTCTTTGAAATTGAATGGGTTAACCAGGACTATCTGCCTAAGTTCGCACTCATTTATTCCTTATAATTAAGTGTGAGTGCCAGGAAGCCTTAGACTTATCGTATATAGATTTAAACTAACGACAAGAAGTGTGTACTTTAAATAAATGCATCACGTATGGAATTATCTAAACAACTTCCTGTTATCTTGTAGAAAGCCCCCAAAACTAGAAATCAAAAATATATCTAATATGATTATTCGAATTTAACTTTTATCGATAACCTGAAACAACCTCTGAGTGTGATCATAGTCCGCGAACACGCATAACTCAAAGATTAAATTGAATTTTTTCTTTTTCGTAATTCTTCGACTGCTTAGCTAAGTCCACTATCTTGCACTGTGCCATAGTGGTTATTGATTTACATAATTGGACTATAATGACAAAATTAAATGGAGTACGGGAACTTTTTAGATTGAAAAAATGAAATTCATTATCACTGTTTCGTTTTTTCCTGAGTTTATAGGATTGCCTGTAAATTCTTTTTTGACTTACCCTTTTTGATTTCGTTTTTCCTCTTTTTTTTCCTCTTTGTTTCTCCCATTTCCCTCTTTATTGATGTCTTACTTTCTTCCTTCTACTTCATTAGTCCTTCGTCTTCTCTATTCAACCTAACAAAATAACAAAATATTTGAATTGAACAACATCCAAAAAACTTCGAGGTTCAAAATGAAATTAAGTTCAAATTTCAAAGATTTCAGTCAAGATCAAATTTCCAAGGTTTGGGTTAAAACTGCATTTGATTTTGGTCAGCATCCCGGTTATTTTACACTTTATCCCTTAGATAATAAGGGTAGAGTGAAAACCAAATGTAGCCCACAACAGCGCTTTCGCACTCTACTTATTTTCTCTATCATGCTGCTGAAAGGACAACTTAATTTATTTATCTTTATCCTATACATTTAATTTTCTTTCTTTCTTTCTTTCTTTCTTTCTTTCTTTCTTCCTTCCTTCCTTCCTTCCTTCCTTCCTTCCTTCCTTCCTTCCTTCCTTCCTTCCTTCCTTCCTTCCTTCCTTCCTTCCTTCCTTCCTTCTGTCCT